CACACAGGCACACAACACAAACATACAACCCAGCCTGTATCCTTTGGAATGGTTTCCATGATCTTTACTTGAATCAAATTTAAAACTAAAGCATTTGCTGCACTTGATTTTTCAGGATTGCATGCACTTAATTCATAGTAAGTTCAGATCACAATATTATCAATTGACTCACTGCTTAAAGATGCTGCGGTTTTGTTAGTAATGGCCAGCTTTCAGATATCAATAAATCAGTTTTTTGTCATCTTTACAAACTCCCCGGCTGTGGGAGATCATTAATTGAATGCTGATAAGACAGACTATGTGCTCTGTCATGTATCTGGTATTCACCTTCCCTTGCTGGTTTTAACCTTACATTGGGCTTTGCCTTCTAAGTTGTGTCTGTGTTTTGAAATGTTCTGTCTTGTCAGGGCTGAGGTCATTTTCATACCGGCAAGAAAGTGTGCACACAGCAATGAATCTTGAACATTGATATTAAGGAGATTCTTTTCGGCAAGGTTTTTAAAGAATGATGATTCACCAACTTTGTACAAATGTACTTTTCAAATAAATAGCAGTTTCTGAGCCCAGCACGATGAAAGATCTGGACTAAAGGAATATTGCTTGTAAACGGAGAGAGCCCTGGAAAACATTTGAGTCAACCTCCCGGGCAAGTACATTTTCAATATATTGTATTATTTTTCAGGAATTTAGCCAAAAAACTTCTTAGTGATGATGATACCTCGTTAACATTCTTTGCTGAAATTAGAAGTTGTCATCTCCTCACTCCCCAATCCACCACCCGGCACCTCAGCTCGACTGGCATCAGCCTCCTGCTTGTTCCTCGCACCCTCTCTCCACCGTTTTCAGCCACTACACCCCAAAACTTTGGACACTCTTCCTCAATCCCTCATCCTTCCGGTCACCTCTGCTCTGAGACGCTGCCCTGTGTGGAGCAGAGTGGATAAGTGCAAGTTGTTGTTGTTTGCTGAAGTAGCCTCTCAGTTAACAATCATAAATCAACATTAGTTAACAACATCTTTATCTTTGTTAAATATCCCGAGTTAGCTCTCCCTCCCAGTAATATCATCCGCATTCAGTGTTTCAACAATAATATTGGAAAGAAATCCAGAAAACAAAGTGGAAAAGATAATGGATGTTAAAATGAATACTAGTTTCTTAAAGGAAGTAAGAATGTGCCAATTGCTCTGAAATGAAATGGATGAGCGGGTTCCAATGGAACTGAGGGCTGAGACAGAAAAGGATGAGACTCCCAGACAAGGCCTTCAGGCAAGCTGCCTGTCCGAGGCTACAACCTCGAGAACTCTCACTTGTCTGTTACTGCTGTTTTGATTGTAACAACGTAAAGAATGTTTAAATAAAAGGCATTCAAAGTCGTGGATTCCTTAGGGAAACATTGGGTCTGAAATTTCCCATGTTATGAGTTCCCCACTTGACGTATGTTGTGACAGAGGTATGCAGCAGGTATTGGATGTTCACCCAAAAGAAAGTATTTAAGAGTGAACTATCACGGCTGCTCTTGCAGACCTCCTAGTGGCTCTCTGAAGTACATCATCGATACATGCTGCGAGCAGGTTTCATGCACATCTTCTCTGTCTCAAACTGCAATGCAGCATTGGGATACTTAACATAGGTGGGGAAAAAGCTTTGATAACTTGAAATATTGGGGGAAATTTGAAATGGTAAAGTCTTCATAAAAAACTGTTTGGCAAATGTTCTTTTTTGTAGAGGGAGTACAACCAGAGGAGCTGTGTATCGCTTGCTCATCATAAGTAGCTGGTGATGTTTTATCCTACCTCTCTACCTATTCTTTTCTCTGGCAATTTCTCTTACTTGTTGGCACCCCAGCAGCGCAAGTGGCCTTGGGATCTCGTTTACTATTTTTCTTTAACATCAAAAACACCTTATGCACACAAGGCACAACTCCTCTCAGTGTGATGTACTAGGTATTTTATTTGGCATAAGTTCCAGTACAAATTCATATTTCTAAAATTTCATTTACATTCATTTTCAGAATTTTTGCATTCGACTGTGCTAGAATTTAAACAGACTGCCAGGGAAAAAATGATCTCACTAAGGGGCAGAGCTTTAAAGGAACATTTCTGCTGCAGGACTAGAAATAAAAGCATTCAGGCGAACTGCACACAGGCCTCTGGGAACCCTCGGATTTTCACGCTTTGTGTAAGTGAATATATTTTTGTAATGTTTCCCATAATTTTCCTCCTTTACTTCCTGAAGGCAATGATTCATAGTGAAGTATGGTTTCATAGATGTCAACAACCTTTCATTCTTTATGCGTGAGCCAAGAAAATGCCAATAAGACCCTATTTAATGTGAATAGCATTACCGCTAAACCCAATCTTTCCTAGTTTGTCTCCCAGTCTGTGGGGAGTTAGCTGATCTAAATTGGGGCAGGAGATGGAGGGCTACAATAGGCACCCCTGAGCTAAAGAGCAGAAAATATGACAGGGTTCCCATTTTTGATTGCTATCCAGTGTTCTCCTATTAATATTTATGTAGATATCAGCAGGTGAGAACACGATTCAACTTGCAATGAGGGCAAGGTCTTAAAAGGCCTCATGGAACTGTACTCCAGCTCAAGGCAACAATGTTAGGAGAGAAGAGAATGGTGGAAATTGAAGAAATAAATGTCAGTGGCAAGATTCCTGCTGTCTCCACAGTGACACACCCTGTCATATGAGTGATTTGAAAATAGGTAAACAGTCAACAATACAACTGCATAGTGATACAATGTGAATAAAATTCAGATGAGATGGTGAGACTGCACTTTCAGAGTTTACAAGTGCCAGGCACCCTTCAGCACATCAACCGAGTGGCAATTCTTCACTTGAGAGCCTTTGCAGTGAACGTCACAGGCTTATTGTGCTATGCAGGGGTCACCACTTTACAGTATATTTTGTGAAGCACTTTGAAATGCCTTGAAGACGCGATAAGGGGCTATATCAAATGCAAGGATTATTATTATTATCATCAGAACTAAACCTGATGCTGTCCTTGCCTTACATCAAAATTTGCATCTTCCAATAGTGCCTCTCAATAGTGAGTGGGAACTGTCTGATTTCATCCTCACCAACTGGTGGCCTGACTGAGATCAACCCACTCAGCACACACCAAGATTCAGACCTTTTTTCGTCTGTACCTTGTAGTGCTTTAACCCACTAGTTTATCGGAGGAGCTATGGACAATCCCACTTATAACCAATAAAGGGAAACCAAGTGCACGATGAAAAGAAATTAAACCCAATCATTTTCCCTTCCACATGGAAATGATCACAAAGGAGCCTGTATGAGCCCATTTCACACAATCCCAATTTCAAATAGGTTTGAAGGAATTTTTCACGTGATCCTGGACTTTCTAAATAAAACAATCCACCAGAATAATTTATCATCTTTCTTTCAAAATTGGGATAAATATGTTTCATGCCAGTTTGTTTGATTCTCTCCTAAGTGGAATCACTTGGCAACTCATAAATAAGGCCACGGAGAGAGAATGACTGTGGCAGCTTTTGTTCGAATGACATAATTCCAGTACACACAGACAGAACACCAGTCATATGAGTGTTCACAGAACTATACACTAGAGACCATTTATTGGCAGTCGCTTCATTGTCACTCTTTTCTAAAGCCACAATGCTTCTCAACAGATCCTGTTATTTCCGATCTGATAATGCCACCGCTACACTGACCATCCTGCCCTTTTCCTTGCCAAAGAATTCTACATAAACAAAATATTAAAGTTAATTGGGCCAACGTTTCTCTGTTCTTGTGTTTTACCAAAAAAAATGCAATGTCAGGGAACGCACTAATTGACAGATCACCTGTTTCTCAGCCTTTCCTTCCTCCCTTCCGAAACTAGAGTTAAAGAGAGGAAAAGGAAGGGAAGAAAAGATCAGTTTATCCTTTTAAGGCTTTTTAAGTAGATCCCTGCAGCATTTCCCAGTTAAGAAGGTACAATACACTGCAAAATACTCCCAGTCAGACTTGGTGTAAGTGAGCTTAACAAAAGGGCAGATTTCAAGGATTCACAGTGAAAGAAGTGAATAGTGGTGAGGATTTTCTGACTCAAAGCATGGTGCAGAGGCTAGTGACTGGTATGTTGCAATGGAGAAAGAGAGGGGAGGGTGAGCCAGGACAGACATGACTCGCAGCAGGCAGTTGGTACAACCACTGTGTGTACTGAACTCGTGTGAGCTCCCTGGGCTTGGTGCAGGAACAGTGATTGAGGAGTGTGAAGCCCACTGAGAGGGCAGAGAGAGTGTTAGTGAAGTGTGTTACCAGGTCAAACGTTTCAGGGACAGCCCTAACCAGTGCAGTGAAGATCACCAGTGCCTTTCACTGTTTTGCCAAATGGATCCAAAAGGGATCTTTTGGAGTCTTCACACTATATTTGCTGCACACTTCTCTGCTGAGAAGCCCTTTCACAGCATACATCTCAGCAGCAAGCTCTGTAATTGAGTCCCTTATATGTTATGAGGTTGTGATTATGTTGATGTCCTGCAGGGTGTTCCCCAAGTTGAAGGGTTGCTGCTGCTAGGGGAAACAGAAGGTCCACTGCATGTTTCATGAGATTAACCCTGATAGAATTTTAGGAGTCTCTGTTACTGTAGTTTCCATGTGCTCATTGCTCTTAAGCAATGACACAAATCTGCTGTTAGCACAAGTCCCAAAGCATAAACTTGTCTAGTGGCTCATTTGATGAGTGCACTGCCAGAGTGTAACTAAGCCAGTCACATTGCAAAAAAANTGCCATGTTCAATTCTCAGTCTGTGCTGAGTTTGCTAATCTTAGTTGTGACAGTAGTCAGAGAGTGTTGTAGTTGGTGTCAGCACTCCTGTGTTTGCTGTGATACCCCCTAATGGCTGAACGGCCTGCATACACTTGTTGCTTAGACTACACAGGAAGGCAGGCTACTTGGGCAAGTTACTGGAGGGCAGCCAACGTCTGTGGAACTGTGCTCCCAATATACGTCAGTGCTTTCGGCAGAGGAAGAGAGAACGTTGGGAGGCAAACTAAAAGGACAGAGTGCAAGGTGACTCCCCATCTGATTTCCCTTTCCTCCCTGCGGGATCAGCTAAGCGCATCTACCTGATGGCAACGAAGAGATCAGGAAGTCGCACGGGTGAGTAACTATAACCTAGCCCATCACTGGGGGCTTTCAATGGAAGGTACAGTGTTGGATTTTCAAGCAGGAAATCAGAGTGCAAACTCCACCCTGACTGTTATTTGAATTCATTTTCTTCCTGTGAGGGAGGCTTGTCGGTCTTTGACCAAGCTACTAAATTTTGGCGGTGCTTTCAGTGCAGAGGAATGCTGCCCTTCAGAGGTAGGGAGGCACATTGATGACCTACTGACCAACGCAGAGTGGCACTGGGAATGGCAAGTGGAAGCATGAAATCAGATCGACCAGGATCTCTTGCCTCAGGAGCAAGAGGATAGAGAAAGGGTAGAAAATGTCGCAAAATCACTGGCAGACAAACAGTGTTACTGCACTGAAAGGCTTCATCGTGCTGTGAAGCGATGTGAACAGCACATTCAAAGGCTGCTAGTGATGAGGTTAAATGCCATTGTTTAAAAGAGGAAATGTGCTCATTTACCAAACTCGTGAACCTGGGTTGCTCAGGGTGTGACTTACATGTTGCATTCTCGCAGGTAATGCAGCAGCTGTGACCTTATCCTCAGGGTGAAACCTCCAGCGCGGAAAAGTATCCTTTAAAATACGATTCTTTTGCTGCTCTATTAGCCTACATTACCTTGACAACCACACAGCGTTCAATAATCTTTCAGGCCATTATTGCCAACTGACGCTGGCATGTTGGTGGATATGTCAAGCCTGTGACCCATCAAGCAACACACCTCAGTGTAGGATCAACCTCACAGGAAGTCAGATCCATGGTTCCTGCTGCCATGGCATCCTGTATGCACGATGCTTTCCAACCATGAGTTCATTTGCTGAGGTCCGAACAAATTAACCTCTGCGAGGCACACTGGAAAAGTCCTGAGTAAAGCTTTCCAGTGGGTATTATTTTATTTTTGTGAAACTCTACCTCATGATACACACAGAGGGCTGGCTCCACCCTTTGTTGTAATAATATTACTCACCCACGTTTACCGGTCTAAATGTTTACCAGCAGCAATGCCAAGCAGGGCTTTTTCTCCATCTAGTTTTCCATCTTCCTTCTTTACTGTCTCACTCAGTACTGAAAAGGTGTCCAATTCTGCCCGCTGTCTCACACAGTACTGACCACTGTCTCACAGCAACAACAAAAAATTATATTTGTATAGCGCCTTTCACTTCGGGAGGATGTTCTAAGGCGTTGGATTTGCACCCAAGCTGTGGGTTGGGATCAGGAGGGGTTGAGGGCAGGGAGGGTGGGGGAAGGAGGGTGACCGAAGGCACGGTCAAAGAGGAAGGTCGTGAGATGGGCCTTGAAGGAAGCAAGGGAGGTAGCGTGGTGATGGGACTGTGGGATGGAGTTCCAAAGGATGGAAACAGGAAGGCTGAAGTCACTCACACAGCACTGCCCGCTGTGGGGGTTATGGGCAGAAGTTACGAGTGCAGTAATAGTCTCCTCTGAGAAGGCCAGCAGGGACAACACTTATTTTCACTCTGGGACCACCCAGATAGACCCCAAAGGAATTTTCCAGTCCTCTATATTCCTATGTTCTAAGCTTTAATGTTTAGCTCTTGCAATGCAGCTGGACTGTTGTATTTTTGGGGTGTAACACTACAGAAAAAGGGGATTTTGTCCCAGTACTGGCAACAAAGACGTGTTTTACAATACTGGGTGGCAGTAATGATATGAAACCCGACAGTAACATCAGCCTGGTGGCAGAGCAGTGATAGTGAAGGTAGAGATTGGAGCTCTGAGGGGTGGGGAAACTTCCCATCTAGAAATTCTTGAAGATAGTCCGTAGTGAATAAGGGCAACCGAGAACTGGAGTTAACACAACAACCAAAGGCACTAACTTTAAGAAAAGTTAGGTTTGGACTTCTGTCCCCAGCACCGCAGGAATACCAGGAGTTTCATCGGGTTTATAAAATTAAACACATTTAGATATGTTTCTTTGTATTTTGCAGCCAATGTCCTCCACCATTTGCTCTGTCTGGATGATCAGAACAAATAGACAGGCTCTGTTGTATCACCCGGCTACATTGTCATTCCGGGCTAGCGCATGGGAATCAGAAATACTGCCAATTTCCAACAGTTTACATTCCTCTAACACTCAGAATTTTGTGAACGGTATTTTGAGTCAGTGCTCATCTTTGAGAATTTGTTTTTCAGATAATTAAGTAATGGCTCACAGTGTTTTCAGCCTACTGTCAGGAGTTTGATTGAAGACTATCCTACTCTATTAGAATAAGTGAGCAGTGGAGAGTCCAGGTGGCTAAATGGCTTGGGGCTATTTCCTTCCAGTTTCAGTTTTATGGCCTGACTCAGACTTCAGCTCAGTCCACTAACAGGAGGCAGATCATTGCCTGTTGAGATTTTGCTGTGCATATGGGGCCTGGAGTTGACTGCTTTTATCCTAGCTCCAATGAAAGGCGTGACAATGTTACACTAAGACATCAAATGTGGAAAGTAATTAACCAGAGCATATTTCGGTTTTTGGATTAAGTTAATATTTTACCAGTGGAGCTCTTAAAAAGCAAACGTTAGTAACCTGTGCTAATTGCCACAACCAGAGATCCATGGAGTGGATTAAAGCCCATTTGTCAGCCGTTAATTGTTGACTGGATAACTTGAACAGTAAAGAGTATTTACAAGAACATTAATATTCATCAATATTAAGTGATAACAACGATTCTCCACTGTGCGAAAGGGCCTGAATCTGTACTTTATTTTTTTAAGTGTACTTATGCACAAATATGTTTGTTGTATCTGTTCATTTCTCAACAGTGTGGAATGTTTTGTTGGGGGTGGGGGTTGTGGGGGTGGGGAGGGGGGTGGAAGAGAGACAGTGGCTATAAATATCACATGGGTCGGAGGATATCACCAATTTGCTACCGCTACATCCAAAATGGTGGAGCCCGTGAAGTGAGGTGCCCTTGTTATGAATGTAACTGTTGTTGTGAGGTTGGGAGAGATGCTGTTGAATTACGTTTTGGATTTACTTCCAGCTTGTCATCACATGTGATTTATTATCTGGGAGTCCCTTGGTAGAGGAATTCTCATGTCAGAGTAACATGTACACAACAGCCCTGTAACTTGGGCTGGTCTTAGCTCCAGAAATTGGCAGTTTGCAGCGGCGGCTTGGTGAAACAAGATCCATGTCAGTTCCTGTAACCCTTTCCGTCTTTGAAGTCTGCCGTGCAGCGAGGACTGGAGCTGTGAATGTCTTGTACAAAGTGGACTCCTCTCAGCTGGGGTGAACCCTTGTTCAAGTGCCCGACCTCTGGTGCTGCAATCATTGAGATTCTTTCTTCTTAACTACAAATCGTTAAAGAAATCAAACCAATAACAAGGAGCAGAATCTGAGCAGTAGCTCTGCCCTGGAAAAGTGTGTCTGCTGAAATATCTCTAAATTACTTGGTGGTGGAAATACTCTATATCTCATGCCTTGAGGGAATCATCTTCTGACAGGGCTACTGCTCATTTACGATAGTTAGACATTGATTTTAAACTTTACTGCATGAAGATGTAGAACACAACTACAAAAATCTCACAAGACAATCCTGCCTTTGTGAAAATTGTGGTTTTTCGGTTTGGCACAACTGATCAACCAAATAAGCCCAAGAACTACATAAGGAAACTGCTGGTGAGGAGAAAATCGTGACCAGATGCCTGAAATTCCATTTAGACTTAGCCCGCAAGACCAATTTGTCTTAAGATTTATGGCTGCGCAGTGATTCACTCTTCATTTGGAAGAGCTTTGAATTCATTTGGAAGCTGTTTTTCCGAGTTGGTTTTCAAAATAAAACTGAATTTAAAATGTTTTCATAATTTTTCCCAATCTTAAAATTTAAGTCAAAATGATCTTGCGGGCCAATTGGATTATAAGTAGCCTCAGTTCCCTTAGCTACACTGAAAACTACCTTCGACTTTTAATAAGCCCTTCGCGTCATGTGAGTATAAATAATAATAATAATAGTATAGGTAAAATCTGACCAGGATTGAAACAAATTGCCTAAAGAATTTCCATTTTCGCCATGCTTACAGTCACCTCTCCCCCTCCCTCTCCCCCTGGCTCAGGGTCAGACTCCGCCAATGTCAAATGCTCTGGGATGCTACCCCACGTGAAGGGCGAGATATAAATGCAAGTTATAAATGTTGTAAAAACATATTGGATCTGCTTTTAAACCTCTATTTTACTCTTTGAGTTTAGAAATGCCCAGTTTTTTTTTACTGTTTCTCCTGCAGTCTCTGCCAGCTTCATTTTTAAAGGTTGAATCAATATACTTCATGACCTTGGCTAGGGTATGCCAGTGGTGGCTGCAGCAATGAAGAGATCAGCTCCTGGTTCAGCCGCGCACTCCGTGCAAAGCCTTTGAAACAAAAGTTGGCAGAGGGTTTGGAACAGTCTGGACATTACTCCACTGCTATTAATGGGCTCTGTACTAATGGGGGGTGGGGGGGTGGTCTGACGTTCTTGCACACAAATAAAAGAACATCATTATTTGGTACAGCAACAATGCAATATTTTTTTTGTCACACGGAAAATTATGTTTCCATTTTCAACATCTTCTTGAATCAATGCATGGCTCAGTTAAGACCATTAGGCAATTATTCACAGCAGCACCAGCTTTTTGAATCTCAATGTAATGAGTTATCCACGCGCTGGGCACTGAAATATTTATGTCTTATAATTTTTCACCGTTGGGCTAAAGATATAGATGAACATAAGATGCCTACCATCTCACATACACCTGTGCTGTCCAACCCAGTGGCTATTCTCCATATGGGGCAACTTTGCTTGTCAGATGTGGCCACTTCCGCATTAATGAAACAACTTGCAGTTCATATACAAAATAGAATATAGACTGCAAAATCACTCGCTTTGTGTGACCTGACTTGTTTTGCATGTTTTCTGTACGTGTTATTGTGCAGTTTTGTTGTCATCTATCACACATACACAGCAGCAGCATGTACTCTGCTTGCTCCATGCTTGATCCATGTTTGA